GGTTCGCTAGAACAGGACAGCTAATTTTGGCCATCTTCTCCGCCGGATTCGACGTGAAAAGTCCGGCTGCCTAACATTCCTCCTGAACGTCTTGCAGGGACGTTGAACCTAATTAGGTTCACTGTCCAGGTTCATAGAACCCTCAAGCCCCGAATTGCGTCCACTTAACCTCTCGACTATCTAGGAAGCAAATCCCAGGACCGGCGCTGCTCTCCTATTCTTCCACGGGCAGAATGCGGTCAGCAACCCCATGCACTATGGCGGGGATGTGCCATCCGGCTGCTTTAGTCAAGAGACCATGCAGTTTGTTAATCATAGTAGTAGTAGTAGTAGTAGTAATAATAAAAATAGGAGTAGTAGTAGTAGTAGTAGTAGGAGGAGGAGGAGGAGTAGGAGTAGGAGTAGGCGCACGTCACGCTAGCGACGGTGCATTATTATGCATTTCGGCGCAAAAATACTGCGCGAGGGGACAGGGCATGAGTTGGGGGGGTTGGGAACTACTTGTTTTGAAGAGGTTGGTTTTCGGAGCTTGTTGTGCTTACAGTCGTCACGAACGCCACGAGCATAGTAATCCCCCTCACTATATTATTCAGTTAGGGCTTAGGGCTTAGGGCTTAGGGTAGGGCTTAGGGTTTAGGGTAATGTTTCCAAGGTTTGTTTTCGGAACTTGCTGTGCTTAGTGTTTGCACGACCTCAGGAACCTAGTCATCCCCCTTACTAATACTCGCGAAGCTTTTTACAGGTCTTTCAAAGTTTGTGAGATTTGTTGTCGGAGCTTGTTGTGCTTACTGTCCTCATGAACGTAATTACACCCCCCCCACCCCACCCCCCCACCTCTCCACCCTCCCACCATACCACAAGAAACGCGAAGGTAGCAACGTTCTGCAGTTTTTCAGAAAATGCAACCCTTTCCCCAGAAATGTCAAAATGAGGCCGAAACCACTGTAAAATCAACTTGAAGTAAGGAAAACCACCGTCAGCTATGGGACGTTCCCCTACTAGTAGTAGTAGTAGTAGTAGTCGTCGTCGTCGTCGTCGTCGTAGTAGTAGTCGTAGTCGTAGTAGTAGTAGTAGTAGTAGTTGTTGTTGTTGTTGTTCAACAAGTCAGGTCACAGTTTCCTGATCCCAACCTCGCCCATTCTTCAGCCCTGTGTTGATCATCACTGCTGCTTCTGCTGCTGCTGCTTGTCTCGACGTGTGCTTTTTCTGCGTCTTCTCATCACCATTGCTGCTGGTGGCGGCAGCAGCAGCCGCCATTGCAACGAGTGCACGGGAGTTTCTCTGTGCTGGACGATTTCCGACCCATTCAAGGGATGACGTCAGATCTCACCTACCTTTTTGCACAGGCTAGCGACAATAATGTCGACATGAGAAAATACGTGATCATGAGCCAGGAGCTTCATGCTTTTTCCTGGAACTCAACTGACAATGGATGCTAGCACATGTGTCCAGCTCAAAGGAAGTCCGGCGTCAAGTACTTGGCCTCCTGGCTTGATTTCGCTCCTGCATGCGTGACCCTCAAACTGGAGATTCAAAGCTTACATTTGTTACTGATATTGATGCCAAGCAGTTAGATCCTGAGAGTTTCTGGCAGGGATATTGAGGCAGTAGTGATAGTAAGAGTCATGAAAGGGATGCAGAGCAGAAGAGAAGGGGGTGGAGAGGTATTGGGCATGACACCAGCATGGCACACTGCATGTAAGGTGGGTCAAGAGAGAGAAGAACCATGAACCCTGGGCACAGACAGTGGTCTGCACGAAGTGCTTTCGCAGCTCTTCAACCAACAGCCTCGGCATGGGATGCAGGTGCGCTCGGACATCATCTACCAGGTCTGAGCGTCTACCTCCAATGCGCGAAAGTGATAGTTCTGCACATTATAACCCCTTTTTTGGGATCATCTCCCTGACGCCTTCCCCAAAGCAGCGATGCCAAACATGGCACATCAAAGGTGATCGAAGTATGCCACAAGTTATGAACCTCTCCCCCTTGCACGCCCTAAGTTGAGGCAAGGAGTTTCTCTAGTCAACGCGTCTTTTTCAAGTCCGATTGCAAGGCTGCGGCCGCTAAGACTTTTCTCCTGGACCAGAGCTTGCATGGCCATGGCAAGCCGCTTTAGATTCTGCAAGCACTTGTAGTAATCATGTATTGAATTGCTTTATCTTGTCATACTGCGGTATGAAGGCTGAAGCGTTAGTTGCCTGCGGCCTTTTGTAGGCCAAGTAACTGTAAGGTTGGAGGGCTTCAGCCTTGCTGCGTAGGAAGGCTTCTCAAAACGACCATTCTCCCCTTTTCGTCCTGTTATAAGTTATAACTTTGAACTCATGGAGAGTACATCGTTTTGAGAATCATGTTTCACACACGGATCACGAAGCTCTACAGGCTGTTCTGTGTCTACTCCTGCTGCCCTGCATGTGCAGTGAGCCTACTCGTCTACAGATGGGCAAAACAATCAGCCCGTGCCTACTCAAGCGCGTCTAGCCGGCCACTACCTCATGCTTCCAACTTGTATCTCGGATGCTAGCTGTTGCCTGCTTGTATCGGTGATGCTCGCACTGGTCTGCAGCATGTTGAGAAGAAGTTGCGTTGTCCGGCGATTCTTGCATGTTCTTGCGCATACTGCTCAAAACCAACTAGGGTCGATGAAGTAAGATAAGCTGTGGTCCCCCAGGGCTTTTCTTGAGCTCAAGGTCGGCCTAGAAAAAACAAGGTCTTTCAATATCGTTGCCGTGGACTCTACTTCAAATGTTGCTGAGTTGAATTTCGCTGGTCCGCTGATCACTTGTAAATGGCGCGGCATGATTTGGGAGTTTCCCAAAATACCCAAAATAAAGGGACCCCAATATAGGCCACAAACTAGTATAGTCCTTATCATAGGGACCCCCAAAAGGTACCCCTACTTTTGGAGAACCCCCATTTCAGTTGTCACAAGCAAGCAGGTTAAGACGGCATGTTGGTTGAGCTTACTTCCTAACAGATTACAAGACCCCAACGGGTCCAAGTACCCAATAATCAGAGGGGGTATATACCCTAAACCCTACACCCTAAACCTTAAACCTGGGAGATATAGGGGTATAGAAGGTATATGGGGATTAGGGTTTTGGGGGGACCTTGGGCAGGGGTCCTAGACATGAAGTGCATACATTGCTGATGCTACGGTTCCTGGCGGGCATGGTGTTAATTGACAGGCCCCCCCTGAGAGATAAGTGGAGGTCTCCCAAAATTAGGGGTCCCTTTTTAGGGGTCCCCATAATAAGGACTATAGTATTTTGGGGTCTATGTTGGGGTCCCCTTATTTTAGGAAACTACCAAGTCTTTGACAGAAGCAACAGAACTGCGTCACAGACTGGCAGTCTTCGTTGAAAAAAAGGATTTACAAAAGACTTCGGTGGCCGTTCGGAGATTCCATTTTTATTTCATGAAGGTCAGTATTGGCAAACATTGCGGAAAGCCTTTCATTGCCAATATCTTTGAAAACACAACCCTGAAACCCTAAACCCTGAACCCTTGGAACATCTTGGCGGCTGTGCTTCTGGGCCTTCCTGCAGGTGATGGCATGGCCCTCGTTGGTGAACCAATGGCTTTATCCAATGCAGCCGGAAAAATCAAGTGCTTCGGGGTTTATGATTCTTCCTTAAGACCCCTAATTTGGGTACTGCCCCTACTCAGTAACAGTTGGAGAATATTTATGATTTAGTTATATATATAGCCCTTATAGACTGTTACTGGGTGGGGGCAGTACCCAACCCCTAATTACTAATATCATCCATCAGGGACATCCCATTCCTGCACATCCCCGAATCTGAAGAGCTTCGTATCTCACAGTAGGCCCCACACAAAGAAAGGAAGATTAATGATAACGAGCCAGCGCAGCACCACGAGGAAGTCAGATCTTTCCAAGATAAGGGACATAGGATCTCCGAGCCCAAGCGCAAAACGGAGAACAACTGGCAAAGATTTGATCTGTACCACGTTCAGTGCTGCGCTAGGTTCCAACCAAAGAGCCCATGTACTTGGAGAATGACACATGCAAATTGAGATGCTCCAACACATGCACTGACAGAGACATGGCCCGTTGCCTCAAAATGGGCCAGAACACACACTGACTGGGTAAAATCCCACTTGTCGACTACAACAGCCTTACTTCCGCATACTCAATCATGTCTCTAACTTGGCCAGACACTCCCAGAATTTCCAGAAGATTTGGGCTTGGGCTCGGGGATGAAACAAGCTTCCTGTCCCTGGTTCCGAAGACTGGCATACAACTGGGAGTGTGGATGCAGACTACAGCGATACCCAAAGAGAAACTTTTTTCATGGTTCAGACCCCGACAACATCAGAACCTTGAACCCAAGACTTGTTTACAGTTTCACAGCATACGAAAACTGCGGGAGATTCCGCTCTTTCAGAAGATCCTTCTGTGTTTCTGGCCAACAGTCGAGTGTCCCTGCTATCTCCAGTGATCATTCTCTGTCTGATTCTGTCTCCGGCGCGATTTCTGCAAGATGAGGTGCTCAATGTAGCAAGTGTGGGGCCGGAATCTTGCTTTGGGTATAGTTTTCGACACGCTTTCCCCTGCCAATGACTTTGAGACAGAAGGTTCCGACCCGTCGCAAGGTTTTGGTAGCAGCAGTTGCTACAAGAGGTTTAGTGATGGTCTTAAGTTTTCCTAGGAGGTGATGCTGAACGCAATATGCATTGCTAGTGACCGCTGAGTATGAGAAGTGGCCTTTTGGCAGTTGTGCCCCAGCAACCATCATTCATTCAAAGTGCTCAAACTACCAGCCTCGCAGCATTAGAAAGAAAAATGAGATCTGATAAGAATAGCGCAAAGAACAAACATGATGAGACATGTGTTCTGGGAGTTGCACCTTGGCGTATGCGTCTATGGGAGTTTGCCTAAGTACTCCCTATGGCCTCCTTAGTAGGGACCGCGATAAAAATGTTGTAAGCACCATATATTGTATGATATCTTATATCTTCATGCCAGCTGGTAGCTTGCCATGATGCGTCTTCCCATCAGCGGCTCCAAGATCAGTTTCGCCGCTGTCTTCCTCGTTTCTCTTTGTTTCTCCACACTGCTCATGTGGAAAACTACCAGATCCTTGGACAGCTACAACACTGGCGGCAGCAAGAAGCGGAGAAGAGCTGGGTGCAGCAGAGATGCTGCAGAATTCTACATCCCAACAGATTTAAAGACTTGCAAGCAGCCCAGGAAGGTTGACTGGTTTAACGATTTCCTGGCCAAAAACCTCAAGAACAATCCTTTGGAACCTGGATGTTGGGAGGCCAACAACTCTTGCGCTCCGTTTCCTTGCTTCAAGCTCTGTGAAACAGGCGGGTCGAGGTTCCGGATGGTATCCTTAAACAGAGGGGCGGGAGACGGAAAGAGAGAGAGAGAGATCCACAAGCGTTTCCCTGCTCGGAGCTGCTTTGCCTTGGAGTGAACACAGCGACTAGTACACGTCTTCACGACATAACGTGCCCGACGTTTGCCCAAAACGCCTTGTCCTCCGAGCATGGCTGCCCCAAGCTCGGCTAAGCAGTTGGCTTCTCTCGTGTTTACGCAGCTGAACCAGAGTTTGAAGCAGCTTGTCAAGCCTTGCCTTGCATGCAGAATGGGGGCACGCTGGCACGTGGCGTTAGCTCTTCTCTCTGCCCATGTTGTTTGGGGACATGCTTGCTAGGCTGGGTAGGACACATGCAGCCCTAGTGAGACCTTCGGGTATTGCATAGCCTCTGGAAGAAGAAGGGAGCGGAGGTGTGGTTTGGATGTACGTATTTACTTGGTTTGATACTACAAGCTCAGGGGGTGAAGGGTCTCGGGCAGGCAGGTACGCTGAGCTGAGAAAGATATGGTCTCCGGAGAAGCCTGGGAAGCAGAAGGTCTTGGCCTTTCAGTACGGCAAGGCGGCTGCTGAAAGGAATCGTGATGGGCTCCCAGCCTCCCAAGACGGTAGCATCCAAATCATTCTAGGTGTTTTCCTGCTAAACCCCAAGCCCCAACATCCCCAACACTTTAAGCCCCAACATCCCCGACACTTTAAGCCCCACAGGTTGCCAGCTCAGCCATCGTGGAAGGCATGAAGGTTCAGCTTGGAATTGAAGTTGCCCATGCCCACCTGGCAGAGCATGCCCGGCAATGGCATCTTGACTGCTCAAGGTTGGGGTTGTGGCATGAAGCGCTTGGGGTATACTTACTGGGGGTTAGTAGGGAATAAAAGAATATGTGACATAAGGATTATATGGGGATTGTATTCCCTTCTTCCATCTTCTTCCCTATAAAGAACCAGTGAGCATAGGGTCCAGAAGCGTGAGCCTCAGAGCAAGTCCTTGCCTCAAAAGGGTGTGACTGACTACGGTATTAGCCAGGGAAAAAGGATCTAAGGTCGCCTGTCTGCAGCGAAGGGTAAAGAGTCTAGGCTGTAAGACTTAATCTTAAATGTGGTCGGCTTGCAGGATATCAGCACATGTAGCTACGAAAAACATTTGCGGGACACCATGTGGATTTCTCTTTTGGGCTAGAGGCGACTGATTGATACTCTTCAGTAGATTAGTCTCTAGGTCATCTTTGCTGTCAGAGTATTCACGGCGCAACCCTTGAATGTTGAGATTTGGATGGCTTTTGCACGAAGGCCCCTATTCTATGATCCTGACTTCTCCGCTCTTAACCCCTTCAGAATCCCTCTGCGCTCCTTACATGCTGACTATCCCTAGGATATCTCTCTATGCTTTGAGGAGCACTGATTAGGCCCCAGACCTGAGACCATGAGTGAGATCGCCGCGATTGTGCCGGCAAAGCGACCAATAAGCCAACAGTATTGTCCTTTGTTGGGTCATATGGCTTCTATTCTACGGTACCCCTAAAGGGTCCATAATTTTTTGCAGCTTGCCTAAAATAGGCACTATTCATGGACTGCAATGCCCAAACTTTAGGGATTGTGTATAGCAAGCCCGAACCAGCCAAAGGCTTGACGGCAAAAGTACATCGATTCCTGCGCCGCAGCAGGGTTTTGCTTTGTCACAGGAGTGGTCTTTGAAACCAGGACCGGCTCGGGGCTACCTTTTTTTTTCAGTCTTCAGGCCTGAACAGAGGGATTGTTTCACAAGGTTCTTTGCGCTAGATTTTACGTAGGCTTTTCCAGATCAAGGATTTAGATTTCAATGTGGCTGCATGGAGCTCCATATGGTACTTGCGGGCTGGGTGCAGTGTATGTGGGTGTCCCAAGAAAGGATCCACGACCCTTTCTTGGTCAGGAAGTCACCCTCTGCGGACTCACCTCAGCCATGAGGGTCTAGAACATGATCAAGACATCCCTCAGGAAAGAGCCTAACCAGCGGGGCGGACACCTGAGGAAAAACTATTGCAGTGCGGCTTTAATTAGGAGTTCTCAAGTTCTGAACAACCACCCAAACACGATCTCTCTCCATGAGGTAGCCCTGTTTCCCCAGAGCTCTTGTGGTTGCTTACACGCTTCTAGTGGGTATCTTCCACAGTCCTCATGGCCATCATGTCCCGACCAGCCTCAGCTGCGTTGCTGCACATGTCGGGCTAGAACGTACCTCGCCATTCCTTAATTGTGTGAGCCAATGTGAGCCAGCTAGAGGAGACGACTGCTTCATCATCACTGCCACGCGCAGCCACTTCAGCAGAGATCCTTCGGAATATTTTGAGAACATCCTGTACCCATACCATCCGTATGGCTTTCACCCGAGGGGCATTCGTCGGTACAACGATACACCCCCTGTGGCTGGTGACCAGAGGTGGACACAGGCGGGAGGCCTCCAAAATTGTTTCCCCTTTTTTTGCTGCAAGTTGTCTTGGCTGTAGAAGTGGCATGGCCTCCCTAAACCCTGCACTGGATACCCAAAGCCGGAACGTTTCAGAGGGACACCCAGGAAAAGATTATGAAGCTCGGAAAGGATCATGTTGAAGCGCTCCAAGAGGACTTCCACGACCAAACCTCCGCCCTGTTTCAGGTAGTTTGAGGCTGCTAGGGTCATACAGCATAGCTATAGTCCCTCTTAAGTAGATAGCATGTGGGGTATATGGAGATCTTATTACAATATACCCAAAGCCAATTTCTAACCACTTAAGGGGGACTACACCCTTGAAGAATTAAGTACGGGTCGTAACTTAGCGGCTTTGCGAACTAGATCTGTTGGCCGAGGAAGGAATGATTGGACAACGTCTGATTCATGATCAAACCTTTTGAGTCGAACTTGCTTGAATGCCCAAATTCATGGTGCTGCTTATCTGGCCTCTTATGCATTCGTATAGTACGCAAGTCAATACGGTAAACAAAAAAATGTCATACGGGTAATTGGCAAGCGTAGTATTAAAGAGCTCGAGGTTTTGCATTCGAGTAGTGAGTAGTACAAGCTTCCTCTCTCATTGGGCCCTGTTTGGATCTTAGTTGCCGCAAGGGGAGCACGGGACCTTTCGAAGGACTTCCAAGCGCAGCATGAAGTTGTCATCCAGGCGTACTCCAAGTGGTATTCAGGTGCTTCTGTTGACTAAACTTTGGGCAATGTTGCATATGCTTTCTACATGTGATGAGTTCTTGTAAGAGTTGAATATCATAATGGTCTAGGCATGGGGCATTGGGCATGGTAGCAAGCAAGAGGGGTTGATCTCCTAGCGGACGGTCTTTGTCTCGTGACCCCAGGTGCCTTTAAAAGCGCCACTGACGTGGATATCATGCAGCAGAGGTTTGACCCAAAGAAGAAACACATGCTGGTGCATGGCGAACGGTGCAGGGTGCTAGTGCTGCGATTCGAGGATATAGGTTGGGATGTCCAAACACTTCGAGTTCCCTATATGCCCACCCAAAAGACTATGTTCCCGAACATATAGGGACTCCTGCAGAGGGCACCCCTCAATTTTTTGGCACCCTGCAGGTGAATGGACCAACATCATTGGACAATACTTTCCTGGCTTCAAAATGCCGCAAGGTTCCAACAGAGCCGAGTTGAAGTGGTATGCGGAGGCATACCGGAACTTCTTGAAGACCTTGTCCTACCGGCCTGAAGAGTTGAAGGCCATGTGTGAGACAGAGACGGAGACGCACTTCTATGCAGAAGATCCTGATTCTGAATGTGCGGATGCCGACTTCTAGGCCTTACCACCCATACAATGCGACGTGAGCGCCTCATGGATTCTTAGTATGGGACGTGCTGCGCCAACGGTTTCGTTTCGGACGTCCTCCCGATGAGCCTCCGCATGTCTGGGAGGGGGCGCATGTAGAGTTTTCCGGCTCATGCCAAGTCATGGGTTGAGTCGGCGCAACAATGCCTGCAAAGTTCTCGCATTAGTTTCGCTTTAGCACTTCTGACAGCATCAAGTGCACACGAGCGTCTCTTTTGTGCACATGCAGAGGATGAAAAGTTTGTGTTGCACAGTGAGAGCTCGAAGACATGAAAGCGTTTGCAGGCAGACTAGCCATGCCAATCAGAGCAGGGCACATTGCAGTCATAGCAGAGTTGCAAAACCTCCTCGCCTTGATCTAATCTCCAGGAGCCCTGCCTCTAGTAGCCACTGTAAATTGAATCTCGCAGAGACCATGCGTAAAGTGGCCCGAAGAGGGGCCCAGCAGCAGACTCTAGCAAGTCTACATAAGGCGGTGCGAAGAAGGACGACAGTTTGGCTCGGACACATGTTTGAGGTGTTGTGCTTTTGTTATGATTACACAAGCAGTTTTAGATTGTTGCGCATTCTTCTTCCGGTTATCGCCACATAGCAATACTACTGACGGAAGAGTTAATCTTCGGTATGCAGAATCTTGATGGCATTTCATTCTCCACCACTCCTGCTATGACTGGTTTGACGGCACTTAGTTGCTCGCTTGACAACGCCAGGCTGCCCGGAGCCAGGTGCCAACGCCAAGCCGCCAGGCCTGGAAGAACATTAATGACAATGTTTGTGTCGTCAGTCGTCACCGCCGTCATCCCTGTCGCCACTTCCAGTGTCATCGCTATATATCGCTATGACCATAGGAGGATTTGCAGCCGTGGTGCGCCGGTAGTGGTGGAGTCTAGTAGTAGTAGTAGTAGTAGTAGTAGTTGATCGTGGTGGCGGTGTCGGCAGCGGTGGTGGCAGCGGCGGCGGCGGTGGTGGAGGTGGCGTGTGACGGCGCCAGCAATGATGTGCAGAAGCAAGTAAGTCTGGTACCCATAGTGCGCAAGTATGTGCAAGTATTGTTCCCGACGGCTTGCAGAAGGTGCTGCAGACACCGCCGACGCTTGGATGCAGTGAGGGCTAGCTGCACAGCTTCGAAAAGTTGAGTTTATCTTCGGCGGTTGTAAAGCATTGCTGGATGTTGTGGTTCAGATGGTGTCGTGGATTCAAATGTGGTTCGGAAGGAACTGGGTAGGGAGCAAGCATTGCCGGCAAAGCAGACTCAGGTTTACAACTACAGGTCGTACAGGGTTTGGTGAGGTTTTCTAGGTCATTCTAGGTGGACGTTATTCGCAATTTTGTCGAGATGCGCATTTGCCAGGCCTTTCGATGACCTTAGCTGTTCGTACACATGAGAACCAAGAGTCCTCCTATAGCTTTTCAATCTCCAGGCTCAAAGCTACATGAAAAGTAGTCCGTGACAGCGCTTTACTCCCGGAGGATTGTAATCATGAGATGGCGCTGTTAAGACACACTCCGCATCCACTTCTTATCGAAAGTTGTGTTTTGCCTAGCACCTTACTCTGAAGCCTCTACCACTATGTGCTTAACTGTCTCTCAATACCCAAGAAAGCTCGAAAACAGTTGCCGCTGTGCTGTTACACATCGTGACGAGGAATAAGAGTGCTGCCTTCGAGCCTAGGCTCCACCAAAGCCCATGATCCCATGGGCTGGCCCATAGGACTGCTCTGATAGAGCAGTCCCTTCCACCCGCATTCTTTAGGAACTCTCTGAGACCTTAGACTTGTTTACTCCGCTCGCACATGAAGGCTTCTGCTTGAAAAGACGCAGAGATGTAGATGGGACCTCCGGCTTCAAGAAACAATCAGTAAGCGTCCCGAAAACCTTCCTAGTTTGCTACTATATGCAGCCCTAAGGCCCTAAGACAACTGAATTTTGTTATGGTTTCTACTAGGGCTTTAGCGAATCTAGAGTGATTCTTCTGCCAGGGGCCCTTCCGCTTCGTTTAGGACGAGTTCGCCTTCCCGCTGGTCTCATGGCCGGCAGAAAGTGCCAGGGCCACCAGGCCAGATAAGTTTGCTTCCCAAATTAGAGGTATCCTCCCCAACAGGATTTGCATTGCAGGGTATAGATAGTGCTTCATTGTGACGCGTGGATTTGCGAACAGGCTCATAACAGGCTCATCAGTGCACTGTTTAAGCTCTCCTGCAAGTATGCCCTCTTTTCTGAAGCCCCCCGCTGGCCTTTCTGCCAAATCCACACGCCCGCAGGCTCCCCGGGAGCACGAGCTGCGCCCCGAGACTGTTTTGCTTGTGAACGTTGGGCCGTTAATGCCGCCAGCGCAGGGTTCTGGACTGATAGACGCAAAGTTCTGGATCGAGGGAAGTCAAGCGCTGGACTGGTTGGAGAGTATACTTCGCATTGCTGTCGGAGTTCAGATGAATGTGATGGGAGGTGTTGTTCTTGAAGGTGTCGCTTTCAAACCCTGATGGTCACGGCAACTGCTAAGCCCACAGTACAAATACAACAGTCAGAATGGGGACTTACATGCCTCAATCCACCCCAGATGTCGCTTTCAAAGCGGCTTGGAGGTCCTTATGGATCTTGTAAACTGGCAGTCCATTACTAGATAATTAAGGTGCTGAATGGCATGTTGAGTGCAGCTGCTTCAAGAGTTGCCACAGGTGCTGCTGCGCTTCTGCCTCAAGCATTCACTGCTTAGGCTCATAGCCAGAAACGTATTTCTGCAGGCCAACTTCCAATAGCATGAAAGCTACTCTTCCGTCAGGTTGCGGGTAGCATGTGCTTTGTACCTTAGGGTTCTGCGCCCTTCTTAGCTTAGGTTGGCTTCTGGCAACGATTGACATCAAGACTAAGACCCCGAGATCCGAGCTGCCTACGTTCACGGCATTGTACCCCCACTCAGGAATTCCGACTATCAGAAGGTTTGAATATATCCAAAACTCATCTTAGCTTAGATGCAGCCTAGCTTTCCGCAGTTCCATGGGGCACCCGCCTTGGTCTCAAGCCGTTTGCAGCTTGCAACCAGGGCTACGCCTGTCTGCGGTGGCCGGACACAGGGATCTGGAGCCGGGCAATCGAAGCTCACTTGGCCCAGGCTGCTTCTCTGGGGATGTGTCATGGCCTCTGTTCAAAACTTCGTTCACTTGTGGTGAAGCAGTTAGAGAACTCAGAGGCAAGGAGTGCAGAAAGGGAAGTGAGCATTAAGATCCTTTGTTGCATAGATGTCTCTGGCTTCAAAGCAACCAGTGCAGTTGGTTCTTATTAGTAGCATTTGGTAGCGATAGATGCGCGCCTATCTGAATCTGAGCTTGAGAGCTTTGGCAGGGCTTGTTATTTGCAAAGCAAACCCTAAGCCCGAAGCCCCGTGCAGATGCACATAGTGCAGGCATCAAAGCCCGAGGAGTTTTGATTTAGTGGTGGTTAGTGGGGATAAGGGAATACATCATATAGGGATTGTATAGGGATTACATTCACCTATTCCCTGCTAACCACCAGTAAGTTAACAAAAACTGTACGGAGAAGAGCCCAGGCATTGCACCCTGCAGCTGGAGATCTCGCTGCTCTCGCGCGGTGAGGACTCGCTTGTCCCCGACATACACAGAAATAACAGGTGACATGCTTCCCTGACAGCAGAAAGGTGTCGTTCTTACTCAGGTTAACCCAACAGTAATAATCAATATAATTAAGAGTAATAAGTAGGTAGTGATAGTAATAATGACTTTTACTATTACCACACTATCCCCTGCAGGATCCTCCGCAAGGCAACGCTTTTGGAGCAAGATGCATTTGAGATTCGCTCTTTGGGCGCCAAAGGAAGGGGTGCGATCGCCAAAAAGGATTTACAAAAAGGAGATCTGATTCTTAAGGAGGCACCCTTGCTGATAATCACGCGCGAAGACCTGGGAAGATACACAGACGAAGACATCGAGCAACGCCTTGCGGAATTACCAGAGAGAGATCAGACACATTTCTGGGAGCTGTTTGATGCGAAGCTGTTTGAAAGTGCTGGCCGAGGTTCGGCCAAAAGCAGAGTTCTGACTAACAGTTATCCTGTTGAAGATGAGCTCGGGGAGGAGGCAGTCGCTGTGTTCAACACCCTGGCACGTTTCAATCACAGCTGTGTACCCAACGTACATAACAGTTGGGACCCAGAGATGGCTGTCGAAACCATCTGCCTGACGCAAGATGTCCCAGCTGGGGAGGAGCTGTGCACTACATATCTGGATTTGTTTACCATACGGCACGAGCGCCAAGAGGAGCTCTCCAGAAGATTGAAGTTCCAATGCACTTGCCAGGCGCCAGCAGCAGTTATGACATACATCACCAGTGATGGAATGGTCTAGGATGGCAGGGTCAGATCACACCAAGGATCGAACACCCCAAAGACGTTGAGATCTTGGAACCTGAAACCATTGCCTTGGCCTGCACCTACAAAGTCTCCTCTTCAAGGCCTCAAGAACCTCACAACCAGAGCCCACTCAGCTTTAATCCCGTATGTCACGAAGGCCTGCAGCCTCCAGGGCCCAGCGCAGCAGCAAAGCGACGCGCGGCGACACCGCCTGCAAGCGCTGTGGGAGCGACTCAGCATGGAAGATATCATCCCCTCCCGCTAGGGTAGGTTTTACTTAGACCTCCCAAATGCCCATGATAATACCTTGCTTTCCCATTATTCGTTTTGGATGAAAGGCCCAGGTCTCTGGTGGTTTAGAGTCCTTATAATGCAGAATCAAATGGAAAGCCAGTCAGAAGCTCGGGTTATGTAGGGGTTTAATGCCCGTTTATCTATATAAATACTCCTATGGGTTTAGGGTTTAGGGCAGAAACATTCTAGATTCTAGACATAGACTTAGGGTTTGATGGAAAATCAAATGGAAGATGAGATGTGGGATGGGCAGTTCCCCCTTGCATGCCACAAAATGCCTACTAGAATCCCCGTTATACGGACCACCAAACAGAGGCCCGTGATTTATGAAAACATCTGGATGTAGAAGCATGTTATTGGGGTTGCTTTCATGGTGCTTATAGTTTAGGCTATGTGAAGCATGTCAGAGTCGCGGACCTGACATCATCAGCCCACAACTCCTGAATCCTGAATCTCAGAAAGCGCACCGCCGCCCAGACTAGATGCAGTGTAACCGCTGCAGTCCAAACTCACATATGCATCATGCAAGTAGCAATCCTAGAAGATCGTATGCAGCCACACTGCTGTCTTCACTCTACCCTGTACACGCTTATTCTTTACCCACTGCCTTAAACCCAAAGCCAACCCCGGGACCCATGCCCCAGACTAAAACCTCCTTCAAGGCCTACAGGCAAAACCACCGCACGTAGCCGAGCTGAGCCAACACAAGGCGTCTTCAGGGGCTTCCTCCTGGAAGTGCTGATGGCCTTGTGACCTGGCTGCAGCTTTTCTGGTTGCATGAGGTAGGTGTTTGTTTCACGCCTTTGAGTTGGGCAAAAATGGAAAGGGTTTCTTCAGAATGTTGGTGGGCGAGTTATCGAGTGTCAACTGTAGCTGTGAAACCATCCCAAAAAAGGGCTGTACCAAAATTACGGTAGTGTTTTGGGCGTTTGCTTGGGGTGTTTGATGACTTGACCCATGATGGATGTCTTGAAAGCAGTCCTGGAGTATAGGTAATTTTCGGATAGGTTCCATGCACATTGTATGTCAAATTGCAAACGGAATCATTACAAGTCAGTGAAGGCCGCCCCCGCTTGAATCAACCCCAGAGCGTCAGCCTAAACTTAGTCAATGGCGCATGGGTTCGCCTTTTAAGTACGTTCACATGTTTGGCCACTGGACATGACATCAGATAGCACCTACCAAGGCAGCTGCATAGCACCTACCAAGGCAGCTGCATCCTCCTCCATCCTGTAACAGTTATAACCAAGGAAGAGATCATTGAGGAGATGGTTGCGGACATTGATGAGGAGCTATGCGGCCACCCTGCCTATAAATGCAGGGTTTTCTCTGCTCCCTGGCTTGTTCCGCAGGGGTTCTGGGCTAGCCGATCGCGTGGATTGCTCTTGGGATACATCCGAAGTTAATAAGCCATTTCCCAGACCAGATAGAAATCAATGTCAGTTGTGCAGGTTCTCAACTCTCATGATCAGAAGGTCTGTCCAGAACAGTAAGTGGCATGTCAGCTACAAATTGTGTATAGCCAAGTGTCCGTTTCATGTTCCATCTTCTTTTCCTTTTGATTCTCCATTATTCCTATATTCCCCCAGAAAACCTTACATAATCCATATGTTCCTCTTTCCATTATCCCAATATGCCCTTATATGACGCCTTAAAAGGGACCCCTCACATAACCCTGCAGGCTGGATTTGAGGTGGCCGCCAACGCTGAATTGGTTGAGCTTGCGGCCGAAATGGCAAACGCTGCGTTAGAAAATGTGGTCTTGGCCGAAGGCCCGGAGTCGCCGTGACTGGGCACCTTTTGAGAGTACTGGGGGTTAGTAGTAGGGAAGAAGGGAATATATTATATAGGGCTTTCATAGGGGTCATGTTCCCTTATTCCCTCCTAACTCCCAGTAAGTTTTGAGGGTACTGTTCTTTGGCTTTGCGCTGCATCTGGATGTTTAGCAACAATGATCTTTCCGTATAAGCCCCATCATGTTTTGTATGGGAAGCGAGGCCTTATAGATTTTGAAATAACCCTGTGCAGATATATAGAGGAACCCCCTTTCTGTTTGAAATGTCCTGGCACAAATTGAGATGCAAATCCAAATCAGGCGAGACTTCTGTGCTTTCAAAAGGGAGCTGTCTGAGATTTCATGTCAGATCGGGCGAGGGTACTCATACTACTATTAGTTTTCTTAGTGTTTATATGACTACAAGTCTACTATATTGTGGGTATTCTTCGTATTCTTATTTCCACTACAACACTTTCATATTTCTAGGCTGTTTTTGTTTTTTACTTAGTCTTGTTAGTGCTACTACGTGGGCAGGGAGCAGCGGTTCTTTGCAAGACGCAAGCCAAGGAGAGCAGAACTTCTGCTTCAATGCGTTGAAGCCTGCGAGTAGCGTGTTCCATTTGATATTGGATAAAGGGTTCATCAAGGGGTTACATGAATGTATGAAGATATAGAGGGTGAAGGGTTAAGAGTCGAGAAGGGTCTCTCAACACTAATTTCACGCGTGTGTTTCCACAGTGTTGGGAAGGATGAAGTACTAAAGTTGATGACTACAAGAGCCTTACTACTCCTAATTCTCCAGCTGTTGCTACTTCCAAAACTCTGACTCCTTCCTTCCGGCAAGTCCTCCCGCAACCTGCTCGGAGACTGCCTAGGAGTTGATTCTGAAATATTGTTGTGGCCTGTCCAGTCACAGCAAATGACTGCCTCGATGGCTGATGCGCAAGCTGTACCCCGGTAGTCCGCAATGGCCGGCAGAGGAATGCCCTGCTGAGTGTGAGCGACATGGATTAAAAAAGGTCACGCAGCCTTACGGACAGTATTTGGGACGAAATTCCAGCTTGAGATGCGATGGCGAGTGGACTCAAGCTCAAACATTGGAATGCAGTGTCCAAATCTTTCGCTTCCTGGCTAAGTCAGCTGAAGGGTTCTTAGAATTGGTACCAGCAATACGCCCACCAGGCAGCTCCTGCTGCTTTTCTGAACCACCTCAAAGAGACAAGCCTCCAGGTCGTTTCATCTCAGAACTTTGGGCTGGACAAGCAGCCGGCTCAGCTGAGACGCAAGTTGTGAACTTCAGATGCTGAGTGTTCCCCTTGACTTGGTTCCTTTCAGCGCCTCATTTCATTGCAGAGGTTGCACCCTCCAGAATTTGTGCTGGAACATAATGGTACCCCTTGTTGGTTCGTGTGCCTGGCCTGTGGCACTGGAACCTACTGTGAAGCAGCTTGTGGATCACACCCAGAAGCACAGTTCAATGAGAAACCTTCGGCAATCCAACCTTTAGGTTTTGTGGGTTTTCGATTTCTCGCCTGATGCCCATTCTGATGATAATTTTCTGGTAGCACAGTCTCTCACGGACTTGCATTACATGCCTTGAATCATGGCAGCGGTAGCAGCTGCATCATGGTAGTCGGCCTGCAAAAGCAGCACGCGATTAAACTAGCCTTGCCACCGCTGCCTTTTGCTACCAACATCGCGCGCTACCATCATCCTGAAGGATTTGTATCCAGTAGGATTACTAATTATCATCAAAGTATTGAACGCATGAAAATTATGGGCTAGTATGCTTAAGCATGATGTTACACGGTGGGGTAGTCGGGGAAAGGGGAGCATGCTACGCCATTAGTATCTTCAATCCTTTTGCTATGTCCATATGATCCCCGATCACTAATCCGATCCAGAATAGGCACCTGCCGCAACAGTACACGCCCCTTACCCCCTGATGCCCCAATATGCAGTCTTCCATAGGCTGGGGCAGGGGAAGAACCCTGCCCGCCTGCCCCCCTTCCAACCCTCTGAAGCCCCCCAAAATCACGATAGAAACCCAGCTTCCATTTCATTTTTCATTTTTCTTGTCCATTTGATTTTCCCATTATCCCAATATTAACCCATAGTACAATATTATATACAGGACCCACCCTAAATCCTAAACCTTAAAAACCCTAAACCCTAAGTCCTGAACACTAAAACCCTAAAGCCCTAGGACCCGGCAGCCGCGCCGGCTTGGCGGTCTGGGACAGCCAGTGCCGCTTGGCTTCGTGAACCTATTGGGACTGGGGGCCACTAAACTGGACCAATGCTAGGGATCCTTTATATACTTCTTGTATCTAAAAGGGATCCCTTTCTCTTAATGTTTTTTACGTGAAGGTAGCCTACCACAGGAACGTAAATGATAACCAACGGCAAACAAGACAGTTTAGCACAGGTGCCCAAAGAACTACCAGTAGTCTGGATCGAGATTCCTTGGCGTAATTCTGGTATAGCGTACCATAAATGACCTAGACCTGAGAGTGGTCATTATTCAGGCCCATGTATTCTGTGCTTGTGGATTTGTAGGGCACGCAGCGTTCAGGTACGTGAGCTTTCCGGCGGTGAAGTATCCTTGCTGGGCAATGACAAAATAAGAGCTCTCATATTTAAAGACTCACCGCAGGACCTGCGTAGGTCTGCTGTTGAGGGTGTGATCCAGACACTGGCAGACCTTCTGGAACAAGGGATCCCCTTCTACTTGGGAATGTGACATGACACCCCTTCTGGAAACAGATACCTTTGGTCCTGTCCTACTCTCCGGGAAACCTCCAGGTGGATAGTCATCAGGTGTACAGGGTGCGTATATAGACCTCATATAACCCCACTACGGCTATACAAGCCTGCTATGAGCCTCATATGGGGCTACTCCCTTGTAACTACCCACCTCGGGG